CATGTCTTTGGTGAAGTTTGGATGAGATCAACATAAACAGAAGCAGGTTTTTCTCTCCAGTCTGCAAAGCACCTGTTTGTTGAACTCGCTGAGCTCCTGTCTCATGGTCCTTCTCTGAGGTTCATGTTTCATCATCAAGTCCTGCAGCTCTGAGGAACCAGAACATGAAGGAGGAGGAGAGAGAACTCAGAGACGTCTGCTGTCAGCAGGACAAAAGCAGAATTTCTTTGATGGTTTTTGACACATTATGTGTCTTTTTGGATCATTTTTGAGTCTTTTAGGGCAAGTTTCAAGTTCACAGCTTTAATAAGATCAGTTCACCTGAAAACTCAGTTTTGTCACAGCTGAGTCACTGAAGTTTCATGATTGCAATGAGGAGTGAAGAATTTTTTGCTTTTTACAGACTCTATGTAATGCATGTGAGTTATTTTTGATAAAACAAAGGGATTTAATGACATATCACAAATTTAAGGTCAGATTTAGTTCATTTTCCCATCATGTCACAGATAATGAGTTTGTTTGCTAGTTTACAGTCTGATGATTCTCTGTTTTTTCAGTTCTGGGTAGTAAATGATGGATGACGACAGCCTTTTAAATGTCTGGTATTCGACTGATGAAAAAAGTTATTTCAAATGCACCTCGCAGCAGAAAGAAAAAGCCTTCAGGAGCCTTTAACGGTCTCGTCACAGCAGTGAAAGTGATTTCTTGCCTTTAGGAAGTCGTTAGAACATAAACAGCAGCTTTATGTTGGAGCCGAACTGCAGTAAAAACTCAGAGAAAGTTGGGTTTGAACAGAGGAAGTCGATGAGAACAACCTTTGACACGCAGGATGCTGCTGCAGGTTTACGGCCTTCAGAGGTTTCTGTTCCTGCACCTGAAACCAAACTCATCCAACCTTTATTTCAACTCTTTTTTAGTTTTTTAAACACATGAAATAAATAAAACAAGAGCAACTGGATTCAAAATAAGTTGAAATTGAAAGAAAAAATAGGATAAACCCACATTAAACAACAGTAAAGACTTAATTCAAAGGGATGAAGAACCAATAAGAGCCTGATGAAGAAATTAAACCTGAGTCTGACCCTTAGCCTCAACATACAGCCTATAACAATTCATAATTATCACCAGTAGTACATTTTCATCTTAATTCTCTGATTCGCTGATGCATGCAGGTATCAGATGTTGACCTGATCCAGCTCTAATAAAAATATACATTTTCCTACAATGCAATGAAAAAACAGGATTTGCTCCTTTAATAAAAACACATTCTGTTTAGTCTCCAGTGTGGATACAGGATGTTCAAACTCAGCTCATCATCAGTCCAAACTCTAGATGTTTGTCGTCGTTACTCTTTTGATGTTTCCAGCAGCCTGAACAGAGGCTGGAGGCTTCAGTGACAATCTTGTATTGGGTTTCAGCTGCTTGTAGCAAAGTGAAGCAGTCCTGAAGGGGTTTTACAGCAGAATGAGCATTATACAATAGAGCATCGTCTGCATAGAGACGTATATCACGACTGGAAACAGAGGAAACAACATGATTCATGTTCACAGTGAACAGAAGAGGCTCCAGGATTGAGCCTTGTGGGACACCGTTAGCAACTTTCACAAATTGTGACTTTACATTTCTGATAGTTCCACATACTGTCTGTCCAAAGGCGACTCTGGAACCATTTTGAAACAGTAGAATCTTTACTCTCTGGTTTGCTTAATTTGGAAAAACACAAATTGATGGAAATTTTAGGTGCAAGAAAACAGAAAATTCTTGTTTTTCACCTGGAGAGCAGCAGGAGTCGTAAGAACTTTGTTGGATCAAACTTTGTTCTAACAAAGAACTTTGAACTCCAGCGTACAGCGTCTACAAAAGGTATTTACCTGCACTTGGAAGTTTCCCCCTTTTATTGCTTAACATTGGATCATGGTCAACTTATTTTAGCTTTATTGACAAAAATGTAAACCAATCCTGCAAACACAAAGTCTAATCTTTACTGTCTAATTAACTTAGAAAAATTAAAAAAAAAAAAAAAAAAAAGTGCAATCTGGTTGAAATTCGGAGGGAAAAAAACACAATTTGTTTAAAAGGTTTCATGCAAAAAGAAGTAAAATTGTTGTTTCAGCACCTCAAGAGCAGCTGAGACAACTGAAACACGAAGCTGATTGATTCTAACGAAGAAGTCTCCACCTCCACTTTACAGAGTGATGGTTCGTGTGCTCAGTTAAACACATTTATGGTCGACTGTTGAATGGTTCTGTCAGATCAGTTAAAAAAAAGCTGCAGTGTTTTCCTCTCAAAGCTGCCGACATGAATTACTTGAACTTTGTGGAACTTTCTTGAATGTTTTAAGAACAAAAATGACTTTCAGATGCACTTCTGTCGTCGTGTCCTGGTCTCACTCGTCTGCTTTCTTTGTTTCCAGCTCATCGTCGCTGTTAAACCAGACGCTCCTCTCTGATCTGGATTTATTTCCGTGTCTCCGGCTGACCTTGACTGAACACTCTCACGCCTGCTGGGGAATTAGTTCAAAGTTTTGCTAGAGGGTGTGTTCGGGCAGAAACCTTCCCGTTCCCTTCTAACGCTGCCGGTTCTCCGGCTCTTTGCGTGCCGGGTTCTTTCCGGCCGAGGGGGCGACGCTGCCACCGAGTTCCACCTTCTGGACGCTTCGGCGGGCTGCTGTGGGCAGGAAGGGAGGGTCGGGTCGGGATTTCCCCTCCGAGCCCTCAAACACTCTGTAGGCCTGAAAAACCCACAGCAGAAAGCAAATACACATCTGATTAGAAACCAAAGGAAAATAAGCTGCAGAATCTGAGTGAGAATCTTCATATTTCATCCTGTGATTGTCGGCCGTACACCCACGATGCAAACTCCAACATAGCAGGTCCAGTCAAGACCTTATTTGGAAGAAGGTTTAAATTTTAAGTTCAAGAAGAAACAAAATCCTTGTTTGTAGACCTGATCCTTTCATTGCTTTTCATTGTTAAATCAGATTCAACATCATTTTGCATTACTGACAAGAATTTACCAAAAAAAACTCTTTCATATCAAAGTGAGAACAAATGTCTGCAGAACAATGTCAACTAAT